CTAAAGGGCAAGTCCATCCCTTTAGAACAGTCTTTATTTGAAAGAAATCGGCCTAATAGTTATTGAGTAATGATTTTTTCAAAGTTAAAGTATTTTAAATCCATTTAAATTAGAAAAAAAATATTTAGTTCAAAGTGTGTGGACTTTTTGAAATTTTCTTTATAGTATTTGATTTGTCTTACTGAGACGAACAAAATGATATAAAATTTGTCAAGTTGTCACGACATGACTTTTTTTTAAATAAATTTTTAAATACCTTCAATTGCGCTTCCTTGTGTTGCAACTCCTGCTCCAATTTCTCGTTCAAATCGTGCAACGATGTCGATTCTCTCTGAGCATTGAGATAGCGTTTTTCCAATGTTGCAATGCGTTCTTCTTGATCTTCTTTTTGCGCGACGTTTTCTCGCAAATCCCTTTGCAATTTCGCATTGGCATCTTGTGCTTTRAATAGTTCTTTTTGTGCCTTTGACAAGTTTTCTTCGAGTTCGCCGACACGATTCTGCATCTCTGCTACTCGTCTCTGCCAGTTACTTATCTCACCAGTCTGATGGGCGAGTACGAAAAAAAATTTTTTTTTAATTTTGTGTTTAAATTTTTTTTATTTTTTTTCTAAATTATTTCACTCACTTGCTGTTCCAATGCTTGCTGAAGGTCGGCTATCCTTGCAGCGCTGTCCGTTTCAGGTTCCACACCACCGTTCACAAGTCGCGGCTTCGAAGCTGCCTAAAGTTTCACAACAACATGCCACATCACAACATCTAGTATTAAACATGCACAATTTTTAACTTTAATGATAATATTAGTGATTTTTATTGAAATACAGAAGACAAGTAACTTAAAACAAGAGAAAATTTGAGTACTACTCTTTAACACCATCTTCTGCAGAAGGGTAAAACACCAAAATATGCTAAAATTAAGATACAGTGTGTTTTCTTAATATTACCAAAAATAACACTAAAAAAAAATTAAGTAATTGCCGGCTCATAAAACCTGGAAAATTGTATAAAAATAACTCAAGTGGTTTCAGAGAAACTAATAAATTTTAATTATCATATAACTTTATCACCCTGTATATCCYAAACGAAGCTTTATAGTACTATCGCTTATTGGACAAAATAGTGTTGTTTTTCGATGGAGAATATGTGGTTGTAATTTATTGCATTATTAAGAAAACACCCTGTATATTTTTTATATACAAAGTGTTAAAAAAAAGTAATAAACCTCGGAATGTGATTCATTAGATCAAAATTGAAAAAAAAGTTCCTCTAAACTCATGTCCGAAAATGTTTCCTTCGTTTTTCTCCTAAGATATTTTTTAAAGAAAATTAATCAACATAAAATCTATAAGAAATTTTCAAAAACGTTTTTCAAAGCAAAATTTTTGCCTTAAATCGCAGTGTATAATTTTTTTAAGTTTTACTCAACCGGTTACTGAAATAATTCAAAAAGCAAAAAAAAATAAAACCAGATTAATTATAAATATTAAAAAAAATAGATTGAAAAATTTACGTAAAAAAAATTTGTAATATTTTCTTCATGTATTTTTGAATTTTGTACTTTTCCAATAGACTTATCTCCGGAAATGCTTCCTTAAGGAGGTAGAGAGATAACTCGATCATATACAGGGTGCTAAAAAAAGACTGTAAAATATTTCAGAAGGTAATAGTATAGACCAAAACAAACAAAAAATCTTAATAAACATGGGTCCGCAAAGTAACTGTTTCGGAGATATCAAAAATTATTTGTTTTTTGAAACATTTATTTGCAATTTGTTCAAACAAAAAGAAAGCTTCTAGTAAAAATTCTAAAAATTTTCTCATTCGATCTCCGAAACCGTTACCTTGCAGCCCTATTTTTATTAACCKCTTTTTCTTTATTTTGTATTTTGTACTATTACCTCCTTAAATTTATTTTTTTTAACACCCTGTACGAAAAAATTCAGTGTTAAAGTCGTTGAATTAAAAAAATCTGTTTTTCTCATACAAAATCAACACAAAAAACATAAAAAATTAATCAACATAATTTTCAAATCTACAGTGTGTCCTCGGAAAAACGACAAAAACTTTACTTTAGTTAGTACTTTACTTAGTTAAATATTTTTGTGCCTTTTATGTGGCAAATATGACAAAAAGTTATTAACAAAAGTTGTTTAAAATCAAATCTAAACTCCTATACCATAATTCAGTCATCGGCCAATTACGATTTTTTTAATATTTTTGTAAAAATTTGTAAAAAAAATATGATTTTTATGCTTTTTTGTAAATTGTATATTATTTTTTTATTAATAATATAAGAACTGTTCAAAATAAAATTCTTTGATTTGTAACAAACATAAAAAATGAAAAATCGTAGTTGGCCAATATTTTCAAATTTGGTATAGAAACCTAAATTTTGTGTCTAAAACTTTTCTTAATAACTTTTTGTCGTATTTTCCTCACTCTATAGTAAAAAATGTTTTTTTTTAAATCCCATAGACATACTTGATTTTTCAAAACCAAAATTAGAAATTAGTTTCTAACCACGCAGGGCTAAATCCCAAAAAATAAAAATTTAGATCGAGAATTTTTTAACTTTTACAAAAGTCGTTTCACTTAAGCCGGAAACAAACTGTATAAAAACTTTTCAAAAATGTTTTTCAAAGCAAAATGTTTGCCTTAAATAACTTAACCACAATGTATAATTTTTAAAAATTCACCTTAACCGGTTTTTATTTTTTACCATTTTCAAAAAAAAAAAAAAATTTCGAACAAAAAATACCAATTTTTCTTATATTAACCTTAGAAATCTTTTAAGCTTTTTTTTGTATAAACACCCTGTATATAATGAAATATAGAAGCCGAAGGCCATTTTCAGAAAACTTTAGCATTTCCAAGGATATGTCTACAGAAACGAAACTTTTTTTCTTATGTTAGCCTAAAAAATCACCTCCTGAAATCTTTTCACGGTTTTTATCAACACCCTGCATATTCTCTGCAAAATATACAGGATGATTCAACGAGTTGGAAAAGTTCATTATTGACCTTAAAATCTTACAATTAAAAAAATCATTTTCAACTATACAGCGTGTCCCAAAAATAAGTTACAATACATACTTTTGTTTTTTTAGATAAAACATCATGTAGCTTTAAATTATTATTTATATATTCTATTTAGTTTTTAAAATAAGTGAAACATACTATTTTTAAAAATTTATTACACAAAAACTCAGACAGAAAAAAATTATTTGTAAAAATAAAAAAGTTGTTTTTGCATCTAAGGGACCACTCATTTTTGGCACACGCTGTATAAACGATACACTAGATTCGTTTTTTATAATTTCTTTACCAACACCCTGTAACTCTGCTTTTTCGTGTGAATTACCCTTCGTTATTCTGACTGTAAATTCTCATAAAATCGAAAAACAACGAATACATTAAAATAGTGATAAGCTACATTTACAAAGAAAGAAAGAAGTGAACTCGCCCCAAAACCTGTCATATTTAATAAAGCCGCTCCAGAATTAAACAATAAAAGAAACACCACGAAGAGAAAGTTTTAGTTTTAAAATGGGATTTTCATTAAGCCAAAGAAATGAAATTATGTTAAAGCAGTCGTGACATGCCTTTTGTATTTCATACAAAGAAAAAAATATATTCACCTTATTGTTAACATTTAATACTTGGTCCCCTGATTCAACTTGTCCATTCTCTTTGGGTTTATCTTCTACGGCAGGTACATTAGAAGGTATCACTCCATGCTTATATTGTTGTAACTGTTTAAAAAAAAAAAAAAAAAAAAATTACTAGAATCTCATTAGAAAATTATACAATTTACCTCTTCTTTGGTTGCAGCTAATTCCTCTTCTAAACTTGAATTTCTTTCTAATGCTACTCTCAGTCTCTCACGTACCTGTAAAACCAACCTGTAGTATTTTTTTAACCTGTAAAAAGTTTGTCACCTTCTCATCTAAAGCTTTGTGATGCTCAAATAAACTTTTAAGTGCCTTTAAAACTTCTACTTCGCTTGAAACGCCCGATTGTGCGGCCGCTTGTCTCTTCACCACTGTCATTCTTAGTGATCTTTCGTGTCTTGACACAAGACATTCCAAATGCTCCAAAAGTAACTGAAATTAAAAGAAGAAATCATTTCAAACACGTAAATTAAGTTAGAATTACAGGAATTAATTTGGGATTATAGGAATTAATTGGGAAACAATGATAGGTACTACAACGGATTATTAGAATTTCCGTAGAATTATTTAGCAATTATTAGAATTTCGGTATTTTTTTTTGAATTACTGGAATTTCGGTATTTTTTTTAGAATTACAATGGAATTTTTTGAAATTGGAATTAGTTGTGCACATTTTTTCCAAGTAAACAGCCCCTCGCTTTTACATAACTTATGTCTAAAAACACGAAAAATTTGCTATTGAGACGTTTATAAAAATAACAGAGAAATAAAAAACAAAAAATCGTGTAAAACAATATCAAAATAACAACAAGAAAAAAAAACTACAACACAAATTTAATTGAGAATAATTTTGAAATCTGTTCAATGTTAAAACTTAATCCATATACTCTAAAAAGTTAAAAAATATATTAGGAGTGGCTTTTTTTCAGGAAAAAAAAACCTGTAAAATGCAATTATTGTCAATCTGCGATAAAATACGATTCCCTCAAAAAAAGCAAAATTTTGATTTCCAAAATGCTATTTTTCCGAATTTCCCTACTTATGTTTTCACGCATCCAAATTCTGACATGTTTTTTGCAACTTAATTTTTCGTTTTTTTTTGCAACAAAAATTGTTAACACTTCTTCAATGTCATTTTTTAAATAAAGACTAATGTTTAATTTTTTATTACTTTATTAGATTCACAAAATAATAAAAACTGTTTTTCAGGAGAAAAAACTGCTGTAAAATGAAATAATTAAACTGCAATAAAAGCGATTCTTCCAA